TACTAGTGACATTTGCTGCTACTGTAAAATTGTGATAGTTTGGCTTTCTTCTTTTTTTGGGGTATGTTAATCTAAACATTTTTACTCTGGGGCCAGCAGGTAGAATTGTGGTTAGAACACTGGATCCCACATGGCTGACTCTGCAGTTTGAATCTCTGACACAGCAGCTTGAAAATCACACAGGGCACATGTGTATGTGTGTCCCAAATCCTGAGAGAATGGAGAAGGGATTGTGGCATGGCCATTCCCCGTAGGGGTGTTTTCTCACTGCCCACCACCTACTCCCTCACCTCTCTCTGGTAAGCACATGTGCCCTATGACAAAAATCTTTAAAAAAAAAATTACTTTCAGTTGTGCATACAAGGAGGAAATACAAAATATCCAATTTTGTATTCAGTATGCCTTAGAATAAATTTAAAACTGCATGTAAGAGAAAGTATTGGCCTTGAATCAAGTCCTTTTAAGAGAAATATCTTTATACTGCAGTCTAACTACTTTATCTCTGGAAATATTTTAGTCAGAAACTGTTCACATTCAAAAATTCTAGGTGGATTATTTTGTGTTGTACTCTCTCTACAACTGCTCAAATCTACTTTGGGGCTGAAAGAAAAAAAGACCTCTCCTGTGAGACTTATACATGCTCACTGCACTAGTGTCCACAAAAAACATCACACAAGAGTCCTTGTGTTACTTGCAGTCAGTATATATCCTTTGGCTTCCATGGTGGTGTCTTTTAAGACCATCTGAGTGGCCATTTAAAAAAATGTAGATTTCAGGAGCTGGCAGGTGATGTGGTGGTTAAAGACACTGGATTCTCACATGGCCAACCGTGGTTCAAGTCCTAGACCTAGCAGTATGCATTCTCCTTCTCCCTTTCTCTCTCTCTGGTCAAATTAAAAACTAATAACAAATGAAATTAAATAAATAAATCTTTTTTTTTTTTTAAAAACAAATGTAGATTTTGGGACCAGCATATGGTGTAATGCTTACATTGCTGGACTCCCATGTAGATGACTGAAGTTTGAGTTCCGGACCCTGCCGCTTAAAACTCACACCAGGCGGGGACCAGCAGGTGGCATGGTGGTTAAGGTGCTGGACACTTCCACATGGCTGACCATGGTTCAAGTCCTGAACCTGGGGGTTTGCTTTCTCACTTTCCCTCTCTATCTGTATGTGTGTGTCTCTCTTGTCAAATTAAAATAAAAATACCTCACACCAGGCATATGTGTATGCATGCCCAAAATCCCAAGAGGAAAATGGAGAAGGAATTGTGGTGTGGCTATCCCTCTAGGGGGTTATTTTTTGTTGTCTCTCTATGTCTCTCCAATGAGCTCACATACCCTAAAAAATATAATAAATTTAAAAAAGGTAGATTTCTGTGGCCCCGCTGCACTGGTAGAGAGGCACACTATGCAATGCTGGAACCATGTGGGAGGCCCCAGTTGGAACCACAGCTGGGGCATGTACATGATCTTAGTTGACTGGAGGAAGGCAAGGGGTGGGGTGGGATCGGGAGTCATAGTGTGGCAAGGCCCTGTTAAAGGTGGCTTATCTTTCATATAAAGAATATAAAGTTTTTTTGTTTTTTTGTTTTTTTTTAAATAGTGGACTCCTGGATTCTCTTCAAAAGTCAGGACATCAAGCAATATGGGGCCTGTATTTCCTCACAGCATTTTTATTAATGATAGAAAGTGGATGCGAGCACTTGTGAGAGAGAGAGAGACACAGAGAGGTAGAGAAAAAGCACCCACAGTAGGGTCTCGTCATACTGTGATCCTCTTTCCTGAGCCCTCCAGCTCGGCAGGATCTGGGTGCCTAGGTGTGTTTCTCTGGCTAACCCAGGGGTGGAACTGCCATATGCCTTCAAGCACTGCAGGGCATTAACTGAGCCTATTATTCTTATAATAGACCCTCACAGGTTGCTAATTTCTTTTTTTTTTTTTTTTTTTGGAGATATTTTCACTGTAGGGCACGTGAGCTCGCCAGACAGACAGAGAGAGACATAGAGACAGAAAGCGAGAAATCACCCCCCAGGGGGGATGGTCACGCCACAGTCCCTTCTCCTCCATTCTCCTCTCGGGATCTTGGGCACGCACGCACATGCGCCCGGTGTGAGTTTTAAGCCACCGGGTCCGGGACACGAACCGCGGTCGACTACGTGGGAGTCCAGCGACATAGCCATTACGCTAACTGCTGGTTCCCTAATTTCTTTAGGAGGTATGCACACAGGTTCATAACTGATACTGAAAAACAACATTCTTTGTGTGTCCACCTAATCCATTTCTTTTATAATGGTAAATAAGTCTACTTCTAGGGCTAGCAGGTAGCATGAAGGTTAAGGCAGCTGGGTCCCACACAACTGATTACATGGTTCAAGTACTAGACCTGGAGGCTTGAAAATCACACAGGGCACACATGTGCATGCCCAAAATCCCAAGAGGAGAATGAAAGAGAAGGGATTGTGGTGGTCATTCCCCCAGGGGGTGATTTCTCACTTTCTGTCTGTCTCCAGTAAGCACACACATACCATGGTGAAAATCTAAGGAAAACATAGTCTACTTCTGAATAACTAAAATAATTCCTTGATAAAGGAATACTTGATAAAGTTTTGCTTTAGGGAACCAGCAGTTAGCGTAATGGCTATGTTGCAGGACTCCCACGTAGTCGACTGCGGTCCGCGTCCTGGACCTGGTGGCTTAAAACTCATGCCAGGTGCGTTTGCGTGCGTGCCCAAGATCCCGAGAGGAGAATGGAGGAGAAGGGATTGCGGGGTGACCATCCCCCCTGGGGGGTGATTTCTCGCTTTCTGTCTCTATGTCTCTGTCTGTCTGGCGAGCGCACGTGCCCTATAGCGAAAATCTCTCCAAAAAAAAAAGGTTTGCTTTAAAAAAATATTAGAACTACCTGGGGCCAGCAGATGGTGTAGCCGTTACATCCCTGGACTCCCATGGCCAACCATGGTTTAAGTCCCAGACCCTGTGGTTTGAAACTCACACGAAGTTGGTGTGTGTGTGTGTGTGTGTGTGTGTGTGTGTGTGTGTGTGTCTGCCCAAGATCCCAGGAGGAGAATTAAGAAAGAACTGTAGTGTGACCATTCCCCCAGGGGTGATTTCTTATTTTCCCCTCTCACTGTCTCTGTCACTGTCTCTCTAGTGAGCACATGCACCATAAGGCAAAAACCTCTTAAAAAAAAAAAAAAAAGAAAAAGAAATACCTTTGTGTTTATGAGATTTTCTTTTTTTTAAAAGATTTAATTGTATTATTATTATTACTATTATTATTGTTTATTTGACCAGAAAGAGAGAGAGAGAAACAGAAAGTGAGAAAGTAAGCTACCAGGTGCGGGACTCAAACCACAGCTGGCCATGTGGGAGTCCAGCACCTCAACCACCATATCACCTACTGGCGCCAAGAGTTCTTTTTAATTCTCTTTTTTTTTTTTTTTTTTTTTTTAGAGGTTTTTCCTGTAGGGCGTGTGCGCTCGCCAGACAGACAGAGAGACGGAAAGCAAGAAATCACCCCCCAGGGGGGATGGTCATGCCTCAATCCCTTCTCCTCCATTCTCCTCTCAGGATCTTGGGCACACACACACACACACGCGCCTGGCGTGAGTTTTAAGCCACCGGGTCCGGGACGCGAACCATGGTCGACTGCATGGGAGTCCAGCAACATAGCCATTACGTAACTGCTGGTTCCCAACATTTTAATTCTCTTTGACTCAATACCAATGATTTATATTTTCCTAAAAAAATTAATTTATTTAGATTTTCAAATAAAAAAGAAACACTGTATTCAGTATAACCATTTAAATGTATCAGGTTTTTCCATCCATTTTTCAAGCATAATGCTGTTTGTTTTTCACACTTTTTTTTTTCTTCTTGAGAGACAATGTTTTGTCTCTTTCTTTTAAGCAGGTATTATATGATGTAGCAAAAAGAAAACCAGTTTGAATAAAGTCCTTCCCACACATTATTCACATTACTTTCCTCACCAACATCCAGGATTATTTCATGTTCAATGGGAAATAAGTGATAATGGAATTATTTAATTTTTATCCTTAAAGGTTTTTTCCTTCAATTAAATACTCTGCCTAATGATCTGCAGAGCATTAAAAAGTCTTTCATCAAATCATTAATACTGACAGCAATGCATATAATAACAATGACTTAACATTCAGTGAGTATGCATTTATTACATGGCAGGCACAATTCTAAGCACTTAATGTGTCTTAATTAATTTAATCCTTACAAAACATTATGAGGTAGGTATTACAATTATCCCCATTTTATAATTTTTACCAAGACATATATAAATATAAAAATATAAGAGACCAGCAGTTGGCATAATGGCTGTCGCTGCACTCCCATGTAGTCAACCACAGTTCAAGTCCCTGACCCAGTGGCTTAAACTCACACTGGGCACGTGTGCATGAGTTCCCAAGATCCTGAGAGGAGAATGGAAGAGAAGGGATTGCGGCGTGGCCATTTCCCAAGTGAAAAAGTGATTTCTCACTTTCTGTCCCTCTGTCTCTCTCTGTCCTGGCGAGCACATGTGCCCTATAGCAAAAACCTCTCAAAAAAAAAAAAAAAAAAAAAAAAGAAGTATATAAAAGAAAAGGGTCAGGAAGGATAAAATAATAAACTGATAATGACCATCCTTCGAGAATGAAGGTGAGTACAAGGACAAGGTCAAAGGATATGTTGCCTTGTTTGCAACATTTAAATCTGTTTTTTTTTTTTTTTTTTTTAGGGGTTTTTTCTTAGGGGGGGTGTGCTCTCCCTTTTTGCTATAGGGTGTGTGCACTCGCCAGGAAGACAAAGAGAGACAGAGTGACAGAAAGCAAGAAACCACCCCCCAGGGGGGATGGTCATGCTGCAATCCCTTCTCCTCCATTCTCCTCTCAGGATCTTGGGCATGCACGCACACGCACCTGGAGTGAGTTTAAGCCACCGGGTTCGGAGCTCGAACCGCGGTCGACTACATGGGAGTTCAGCAACATAGCCATTACAAACTGCTGGTCCCAACATTTAAATCTTTTCTAAGGAAAATATATTTGTGCATTATTTCTGCAATTAATACAAAAGACATGATACAAAGGTGTGCCTAGAAAGAAAGAATGTCCATCAGAGACATTTATTCTGGTGGTTGTTATGGCAAAATATCTGGAGGAAACAACAATGTCCACCAACTGGAATTTAATAAGATGATATTACAGTAACACATGAAACACCAAAAAGATATTAAGGGACCTCTATATACTGAATAGAAAGTTGTTCATGAGCGTTTTACAATAAAAAAGACTTAATTTTGTAAAACGCAAAAATAGTCTTTAAAAATAAAAGAGGTCTTTTCTCCAAGATATTTTAAAAGTAAATATATTTTACAAACCATGACGTAAGCAAATGAACTTAACAGTCATATAAATTTAAGGTGGATTAAATTATTAAGAATAACAATTATAGACAAATTGGAGGAAAATAAATGAAAATTATGGGATTACATTTCTGCATAAATTCTCTGACATTAAAAAAGGTTAAAAAGGTCATTTCAATATTTGCTAGACTAAATTATCTGATGTCAAGAGAAAGATGAGTTTTTATTAGAGGGCTTCCAAAATGTAATTTATTCACAGGCTATTTCTCCAATATGATTTTTCTTGGGTTGAATAAGCTGTAGCCAACAAACAAAATGTTCCTACATTTTCGAGAGGGATTATCTATCTACATAAATTTTGATGTTGAATTGTTTTAAGCCATAATTAAAAGCCTTCCCAGATATAGTTCATATATCTGGTTTATCACCAGTACAAATTTTGATGCTGAATAAGCTGTGCACCATAATTAAAGTTCTTTCCACATTCCCTGTATTCATATGGTTTCTCACCAGTATGAATTCTGTGATGACTTATAAGTTGAGAACTCTGAGAATAGGCTTTCCCACATATCTTACATTCATAGGGTTTCTCACCAGTATGAATTCTCTGATGTCTAGTAAGGTCTGAACCAGAACGAAAAGCCTTTTCACATTCCTTACATTCATAGGGTTTCTCACCTGTATGGATTCTCTGATGTTTAATAAGCTGTGAGCTCTGACTAAAGGCATTGCCACATTCCTTACATTCATAGGGTTTCTCCCCAGTATGAATTCTCTGATGTTGAGTAAAGTTTGAGCCACTACTAAAGGCCTTCCCGCATTCTTTACATTCATACGGTTTCTCCCCAGTGTGAATTCTCTGATGTCGAGTAAAGTTTGAGCCACTACTAAAGGCCTTTCCGCATTCCTTACATTCATAGGGTTTCTCACCAGTGTGAATTCTGTGATGTCGAGTAAGGTCTGAGCCACAAATAAAGGTTTTTCCACATTCCTTACATTCAAAGGGTTTCTTCCCAGTATGAATTTTCTGATGATGAGCGAGTCTTGAGGGATGTCTAAAGGCCTTTCCACAATCCTTACATTCATAGGGTTTCTCAATGGTCTGAATTATCTGATGTGTAGCAAATTGTGAGCCATGTCTAAAAGTTTTCCTGTATTCTTTAGTTGCACAGTATTTCTCTTTATTATTAATGATTTGCTGTACTGTAAAGGATGGATGCTGACTGCAAGTGGACATGTCTTCATGAGTGAGTATTGCTTGACTAAAAGGTCCCTCCTGAGAGCCATGTTGTTTGTCAAACTGACCATTACATTTCCAATCATCTCTGAAACGAGAACACTGAAGGTCATGTCTTGTAATTCTTTCCATTAGCTCCCATTGAGCTGACTCTATTTCATAAATTTCTTTCTTCAGAAATAATTTCTTGGTTTCACATCTTGATTTCAGGACTGAAAGAAAATATGAAAGCAATCACTCACATTTTTCTTCCTTGGAGAAATGACACTTCAATTAAAATGGGAAAATTGAATTGGATTTTTAAAAAAATGGACAAGAAAAGATAGAAGGGATGTCACAAAGTAAGATGAGGGTAATAGTTAGGTAATCAAAGTAAGTCACTGTTTCCCAACCATTGTTATAGATCTTAGGGTAGTTTATTAAATGAACACATGCCTTAGTCTTGTTATAAGATGACCTCAATCACACATACACACACACTCTAGTGGCACATACACACAGAGACATGTGATAGCATCCTACAGCATGAATTAAAAAATAAGGGAAATGATCATACTACTAGAACTGCTGTCAGGATGAAATGAATAGGCCTAATGGAAAATTGCTGGGGGTTGGCAAACTATGGTCTATGACTCTGTACTTGCTTTCATAAATTAAGTTTTATTGGGACACAGCCACAGTTATTTATTGTATTATGCGTGGTTGCTTTTTTTTTTTTTTTTTTAGAGATTTTTGTTA